ACATAAACCACCACCTTGGTTTGGCCCATGTTTCCCAAGAATAAAAGCATTGACATTTTTCTTGGCTGAGGCATCTGGTCTTCGTTCAGGCAGACCTTCAGAGGCCTATGTCCACCAGAAGGAAGGCACAGAAAGCTCCTGAGCACTCCGCACAGAGCAGAAGCTGAGCCCGGGCCTTACCTACTGTTACCCCCTATAACCCAAATCAGCCTGTCTGGGCGCAGCCAAAAGCCAGGTGTGGCAGTGGAAGCACTGTGCGGTCCAAACAAGGCAACCCAGGGCCACGGTCTCTGTTGTGGGCTGAATGTACTTCAGAATTTCTAGAGCCACGAAGGCTCAGTTTAGGGCCAGCTTCCTAACCGTTTAAAACTGAGATTTTGAGTGCTGGGCGATAAAGGTTGCTGTGCGACAAGTGTCTGGGAGACAGGAGTTAGTGCTGCTTGGGGCCAGATTCACGTAATCAGCGCAGCTGAAGCAGAGGACAGAACTTCACCTCCCCTAGGAAACATGAGCGAGCTCGGAGTGGGCCGGGCTCAGGAAGAGCTTCCCAGCCGCGACAGGCGACTGTAGCAATGCCCGCTGCTACAGACAAGAATTCTTCAACCTTTCTGGCTGTTCTCATACACAGACACACCCATAAAGAGCCCTGCCTTGTGTCCACGGAGTGTAAGTGCTATATTTTTAGCCTAAATTTAAAAACAGAAACAGAAACCCAGACACCTTTTATTTGGTGCACATGTCCATCACTGTGTCTAATGTGACCACGGAAATACCTCGGATTTGACAGGTCCCTGGCAGGATTAGGGGCATACTTTTGGAAGAAACCTACATGAAGGGCCGGCCAAACAGCTCAGTGGATTAAAGCACCTGCAAGCAGGCGCAGGGGCCAGGGGCTCATCCCTGGAAACTGCCCTGCAGGCCCCGCCCCCGTGGCACAATGAGATGGCAACTGAAACTGGGCGTGGTGGTGCACGCCTGTAATCCCATCTCTTGGGAGGCTGTAAACAGGCAGATCACTAAGAGTCCCATCTAGTAGTGAGACCCTCAACACCCTGTAGACCCTTCCCTAAAATAAAATAAAAAAGAAACCTACGTGAATATTGATTCCTACAAACTTTGGACAGTGAAGTACCCCTCTCATCACCTATATGTAAATGTCAAACACTGGATTTACTAACAATCAAGACACAATATAAAAGAGCATATCCAAAAAGTAGATGGGAAAATCAGAACTGTATTAACAAGGTACAAAGTAGGAAGACTCATCTCCACTACCGGCACATTTCTAAATAACTTTTAGAGTTAAACACAAGATGAACAAAGAAAATGTGGTGCTTACAATGGAGTACTATTATGTCACAAAGGATAAATGAGTCAATTTGTAGAAAAACAGATACACCCTGAGACCATAATGTTAACTGAAGTAATTCAGACATACACATTATGTATGTGTGTATGTGTATTATTATCTCATGGTTTCTCTATATGAAAGACCCAAAGTAAAAATAAAGAACAAAATAAAGATGACAGGAAGTAGGGAGACAGCTCTTTCTCAAAGCAGAAGGGGATCAGGAGATGGAGGGGAGGAAACAAGGAATGAAGTGTTGTGTATGTGTACCAGTTCCACACTAGGAACGAAACATGTACTGCAAACATGAATAAAATAAAGTTTATTAAATTTTTAAAGACAGGTATTACCATCCCATATGTGCTCTGCTAGCATCCTAGGGACCACACAGGCCACTTTAAAATAGCATAGTATTAGGCTCAGGGTCCACCATGACCATACAGTTAGGCAAGAGGAATCACTCCAGGTTTCAACAGGAGGACATTAACACAATAATCCTTAACTAGAAAAAGCTGGTTAACAATTTAAGCGTAAAAGGACTCAAAGGTGTTCAAAAAATAGGTGCCAGAACAGCAACTAGCGCCAGGCTGAGGGTAAAGAGGGAAGAATTGCAACCCCACAGAGGTTCTCTGCCCTTCCCCTGCGCCAAGGTGAGTCGGCTTTGCAGGAGCGTGTGGTTTCCGTGGGAATTCACAGATGCCAATGGTGAGCGTGGCAAGAGGGCATGGTTGCCATGGTAGCTGAGCGGGATGTAACTTGAGGGGCAGAAGCCCCTCTGCTTAGACTGCTAGGCTCCTACAGTGGATAGAAATGCAGAACCAGAACCCTGAAATGGGTCTTTTTGCTGCTACTGCTCGGCAGTGCCACTCTGGTGCCCCCGACTGATGAGGCCTAACACTCTACCAGCTGGCAAAGAGGAGGTGAGAGGGTACGGCCAGCTGGGGGGAGGACACCAAGCAGTGCAGCCAGGAGGGCTGGGGCTGCAGGACAGTCAACTGCACGCGTCCAGTCCTTCAGGTATGGCGCCTGCATCCACACCCTAGCTGTCCAATGTCTACTGAGCACTTGAAATGTTTTGAATATATGCCAGATCTCAAAGACTAGTACCAAAAAGCAACACAGATTATCCCATTAGTTTTTTCTGTGGTGTACATCAATCCCATAGGGAAACGGTATTTTTGATGTTATACTAAATAAATAATACAAAAATTAACTTCCCTTAGGCTGGGTCGAGATAGCTTAGCGGTCTAAGCATCTGCCTGGCAAGAGCTAGGACCCGGGTTCATTCCCGGCACCACCTGTTATGCTGACCCTGGAACCCCCGGGTGCACAGTGCCAACCACTGAAACTGGGCACGGTGGTGCATGCCTGTAAACCCAGGGCTGGGAAGGCTGAGACAGGAGGAGCACTATGAGTCCGAGGTGCATACCGAGACCCTGTACCAAATGAATAAACAAACAAATAAATACTTTTAAAAATTAATTTCCCCCTACTTTTAATTGGGGTGCCAGAAAAACTTGAAATTTATATGTGGCTTGGATCCCTGGGTGGCGAACAACTGGCTGCAATGGAAAGGAAGTTGTTAGGATCCAACAGCTTCTCCTCCCCATGTGGTTAGGGTTCATTCAATTACACATCTGGGTTTTCCAAGCTGCACCAACCTCAGCCCTCCTCACCTACAGTTGCAAAGGACTCTCGCTGTGTAGAGTTCCTTTCTGTCATCTACCTCTTCAACGCCAATTCCCAGAATACATGTATGGTGCCTGATCAATACTGAGTATGTATTTGCTACACAAATCAGTCTGAATGAAAACATCTCCAGAAGAATCCACACAATAAAGGACATAACATATTAAAGAGCTCTCAAGTTCAGAGAGTTTGGGGGGGAGGGGAATATGGCTTCCACTCATGATCTGACCTCCTTGGGCTAAGCCATGTGCATGAGGCCCTCTGTTTTCATGCCTGCTCAAAGACAGCTGAACTTGGTTTTATTCAAACTTACTAATGAGATCCTTTTAGAGATTAAAATAAACTTTTAAAAACTAAAATGCAGGGCCAGCCAGATAGCTCAGCGGACTAACGCACTTGCTTAGACAGAGTGCAGCGGTCAGGGTTCAATCCCTGAAATGCTATGCCAGCCCCACTCCCAGGGCACACTGAGACAGCCCTGAGATGGTGACTGAGACTGGGTGTAGTGGCACGTGCCTGTAATCCCAGCACTTGGGAGGGTGAAAACAGGAGGATCACTGTGTCCAATCTATGTAATAAGACCCTGTACTAAATACATTAAAAAAAAAAAAATAAAAAAACCTAAAAGGCAGAACACATTACACTTACTAAAGACAAATGCTGGCTTCAGGTCCAGACAGGGGTTGCAATCTGAAGTCTGCTTCTTGCTACATTCATAAATTGAAAGCCACTGCTGCAGATGAATTTCTTGAAATCTGGTACCATCTCAATTCTTATAGATTCATTTGTCTTAAAATAGTTCCAAGACCAGTAAATCACAAAGTATGAAATCACAATTTATTATGGAAAGGTTTAAAAAGCTAGAATTTATTTGGTGCACACTTTGCTTGCCATAGGGCATTTTCACATACTGCTTTAACCAACCACGTGAGGTATTTTACAGGTAAAAAACAAACAAACAAACAAAAAAAACCCAAAAAACAGAACTACCTCCTTAATTAAGGAGAATAAGGGTTATAAGTGATGTTAAATAAAAACAAAAATCAAATTCGGGCTGTTTTCCTTTCCTTTATGTATTCTCTACATGTATCATACATGTTTAGCATTAGAAGAGAACCAACCCAAATAAAAGGAAATCTTTGTTGTAATTTCTGTCTGTAGGTGCTCCCCTTAACCCATCAATTCTCTACGCATGAGACTTCAATCTTTTCATTATCTGAAATGCTAAGGTGATCGAGTACTTTGAATACTTTGTTCACACAGGAAACACATTTGCCTAAAAATAGCCCAGTTTTCAAAGGCAATTTTACAACAAAAAAAGACAAAGGCTCATTTGATGGGAATGATTTCAATAAAGTACCTTTGACAAAGCAGAAAAATGTGTAATAACAACTTTATAAAAATGCAGCACCACCACTGCCTCAATGAATGAGCAAACATTAACAAGTGAAAGCTACCTAAGAATTACAGCTTTTTTAAATAAACTACTTTCATATTTAGAAGTTCAAGTCATATAATTACATTAAGGTTTTCTTCTAATTAGGAAATCAACATTGACATCAAGTCATTTTAGAAAACAAAAGTAGCTCCCCAATAAACAGGGACTCATGAATTGTTATAAAGAAAAAAATCTTCAATATGTAATTTGTTACCATTTCTAAGCTTTCCACAAGAGAAATTTGAGCTTTCTGGTTTTCTTCATTTCTTCGTCAACTTTCTTCAGCAATCTTATCAGTCCTAAAATCATGTCACAAAGTACAGCTCACAAAGAAACTAGATGTGAAAGCTAACTTTTATTTTTAAGGGCTCCCTTTCTTTAACTGAATATTATAGCAATGCTATCAAATTAATTTCATAATCAAATACCATCTAGTAAGTATATGTTGAGTGTGTATATGTATATATGTACATACATTTTTCAATGACTATTCATATTCAATGAATAAACTTTGTACCAGCGCACTAAATTTCATATGGTTTATTTTAAATGACTGCTGGTTCCAGATCATTAAAAACCACAAACTGTATGGCAGCAACTATAGTACATATACAGTTTTTTAAAAGATAGTTATCACGTAACATTGGAATATAATTTTTAAAACTACAAATGACACAGCATAAGGCTCTGTGGTTGAATAATCGGCAAACAAAAATATGCGAGGAAATTTTCCAGAAATGAAACAAGTCGTCCGATAGAACTTACTCTCTCCTTTCTCCAACAGCTAATTATGAATGGACAATAAAATGTGCAAACAAAAGGTTACTGCAACTTCTAGAAAAGATTTCAGTTGCAGTATTTGATGAGGTCAGACTATCATGGCAAGCTAAAAATTAATCTGTTGGTACAGAAGATATAACTGCTCATTTGTACACAAGTTTAATTACCTTTGAAACAATACAGCAAAAATCTCAAAGTTTACTCCTTAAATATAGTTTAATTCTTACAAACATCCTTTTGAAAATTTATATGTTGCAACCTCATAAGTTTAAATTCAAAATAAAATATGAAGGCAGTAGTCAGGGAACCACATCAGATTGCTTTGCTGTGTAATAACAGAACATCTCTCTTCTGTGACATGGTCGGAAACCCAGACCCTAAATATATCCCAGTAAGTGCAGAAAACAGAGTTATCGGAGGCAAATCATGCTAAAATATAATGTACAATGATTAATTTGCATTTAAGATGGTTCGTAATGCTTTTAAACCAATAAAACTAAGGTAAGGTAAATTTTGTAGCACTTGCTCTTATACTCAACATTAGTTCATCTGAAAAGTAAATTAAGAATGGCAGAACCAAAAGCCTGATCATTCTTCTTATGCTCATTATTTTCTCAGTCACACTAAATTCAAACAAATCAATACAGCGCCGAGATTGTTCACACATTAAACTGCAGACCAATGACTCATAAAGACAGACTGTGTACCAAGCAGTGTACACACGGTGAGTTTGCAGCTACCATCAACTCGACTTTTTAAAATAACAGCAAGATTTATAAGGCAAAATAAACATCTGATTTAAAAATCTGCTGTTCTAAGATAACCCAGTTGTCCTTTTTTTCTCTGACATTGGTAAGGAGTGGGTTTTTAAAAACCTGAAGCGTCTGTAAGAGGAAAAAAATCCCCAGATTTTAAAAACTCAACTGGTTAGGAGTTGATATGTAGCGCTGCTGGCTGGAATGGCAACGGATGCTTTCTCTCACCAAACCATCCACTTTGCAGTAATAGTTCTTCAAGCCAAGTAAACAAAGATGTAAATTAGCTTACCCATGATTAAATTGGAAGTAATCCCTCAAACATAGGAGCAAGATACCTCACCCAAAAAGATCTTTCAAATCATTGCTAGCTGAACTGCTACTGGTCATAGTAGTGGGCGGCTGTACAAAGTTCTGGGGGTTAAAGAAAGGGTTACCCTGCATGCCGAAAGCAGACTGTCCTATCACGTTCACCTGTGGTCCCATCATTGCACTGCCCACACCTGGAGAACCTTGAGGAGGTACAAACTGATTAAGCCACTGATTTGGTTTCTGCTGAGATAGCTGGTTCATGCTAACTTTGGGTTTCTGAGGACCAAAGAGATTATTGAGGGCAGACATATCTGTGGGTCTTTGTTGGGGCTGCTTTGCACCAGCAGGAAGAACGCTCAGAGAGCTGAAGTTTGGCAGGGTGGGAGGTGCTCCCAGATTCAGACTGCTCACGCCAGGTGTGCTTGTACTACTGAAGAAGTTCTGGTTTGTGTTCACCGGCATGCTGAATCCCAAGGTCTGAAAGCCCATATTGCCGTTTAAGCCGTTTGTCAAATTTCTCTTTGTGTTATCAGCTGGTGTAGAAAACATCATGCCCAGGCCCGAGGAAGGAACAGAAGTGAAGGTACTTGAAGCAGAAGGTTTAGGGGTGCCAACAGAGAGGCTGGTCAAAGATGACATATTATCCATCAATGTGTCTGTCAAGTCCTTAGTCTGAAAAATGTGAGGAAATTACTTATCTCCAAGAAATCCAATTTGCTTTATAATTAGTGAACATTTGAAATTAAATTATAAAGGACAAGATAAAAATACACACAACAATCTATACCAACTCAACAAACTATGGCCTGCAAGCCAAATCTAACCTGCATCCATTTTGTGCAGATTTTATAGATGAGTATTTGCAATCAATTTGATAGTAGTGAACACTAACATTAAACTCCACTTACATAAAATGTTATTTTCCCAAAATAGAATTACACTCCTCTCATTAAGGGAGGTATATTATGAAAAAAAGGATTATTATTTTAAATTTCATCAAATTTTTGTGGGAATTTGTCTTTCCTGATTTTATATTTTGATTTTTGACCTGCAAAGACTTTCTTCTCAGAAGAATTTCAGTGATTAATAGGTAACAACAGCAAAATATATTAAAGCTTTTACGATAAAGTTCTTTTTCAAACTATTAAGCGTGCCTACAAGCAGGGCCCATAGCACTAGGATCTGAAACAGTACCTGGAACACAGTAAGAAATAAATACTGGCCAGCAGATGTAGCAACATTGTCCTAATAATAATTCAAGTTACAAACCTGTCACTGAAACCAAAAATTACTTTCAGTTCAAAAATACATTAAGAGCATAAATATAATATTCCTGACCATTTCAGAGTGAATACAACTGAATTAGTACTATGAAGTCTAATTTTTTTTTAAACTCCACCTACTCATAGAAGAGTTGTGAGAAAACCCATAGCTATTCTTTTTAGAAACTAGATATTATTCTTTGAAATACATCTTTTGTGAATGCTACCGGCGTAGACTTCAAGTCCACTGCCCTCACAAGGAGCACCCTTGAAACTGCACAAGCGAATCTGACCTGCTTCACTGCAGCGACGGCCGTGTGCACTTGGGGACTCAGAGGCTGCTGGCTTCTCAGCTTCTGGGCCTGCTCCTGTTCTTTTGCTAACTTTTGTTTTTCTTCCAGTGTAAGTGATGCCTTAAAACAAAACAATGCAAAAGAATCAACTGGCCATTCCATAATTATTTGTAAAACATAAGATTGCTTTTCTTTGATAAAGGACACCTAGGTCCCACTGGCAGTACTTACTACTTAACTGCAACTAAAACAATTCTTCCACTGTCAATGACTACATCAAATGTGATGCTTCTTTTTTATCAATTTTGCTGAACTAAAAGCTCACAACATCTGACAATTCTGTAAGCTGCTATGTCCCATGTTCCATTGGTTTTAAACATATAGGTATTCATATTTTGAGAACAAATAAAAGAATGACCTCACTGATAGGTCAGGACTCAATTTCCCAGGCACCCTGCCCCAGAGGCTCTCCCTATTAGTTTCCCAGGCACCCCGCCCCCAAATGCTCTCCCTATTGGTTTCCCAGGCACCCCGCCCCCAATCGCTCTCCCTATTGGTTTCCCAGGCACCCCGCCCCCAAACACTCTCCCTATTGGTTTCCCAGGCACCCTGCTCCCAAATGCTCTCCCCCTTGGCCTCCCACAGAGCCAAACCCAAAACCTCAAAACAGGTTCCCCTGACTTCACCTGGACAAGCAACCACGAAATTCTCCTTTATTAGCATTGAAAGTCCTCCACAGACCAGGAAGCCCTGCCAAGATTAGCTCTCCCTCAGGTGTTCCAGCCCACAAACCACTAAACACCTTAACACCTTAAAAGCACTGTTCTTTTTTTTTTCCCCATACTTGTATTGATAAACAAATAGCAATGAGACAGTTTCAAATCAAATTGGTAGGACAGTTTCAATAGTAACACATTGCATACATTCTTCCTAGTGGAAAAGCACTGTTCTTTGCCTTGTTCGCTGCTGTCTTGGTCTGCTAGACAGCCAGCCTGCTTGCCACCCTCACTAAATCTACTCACATCAGAATGCCTGGTCTGGTTGATTGCATGGGTTCGTACCTAACACTCATCAAAAGTCTAACTCTGGGGCCAGGGAGATGGTTCAGTAGAATAAGTGCTTGCCTGGCAAGAGCAAGGGCCGGAGTTCAATTACTGGTTCCTCAAAAAAAAAAAAAAAAAGTCTAAATTTGGCAAGTTTTTTTTTTTTTACAATATTAGTTGCTAACTAAAATTTCAATAAGGAAGTATCACTTTATTATTCAAAGTCAGAGGGAGGGAAAATTTTTTTCATCTGCTTATGAGATAAAACCACATCTATGTTTAAAATTCTCTTGAACAAAACAGTGGTGAGTCACCACTAAGAAGTTACATAAACATCATGTACTCCTATCAGAAGAAACCAGGAAAGGCCCTCCTCCATTTCTGTGGTATTCTTGGATGAAAATGTAAAACCTAAGTCTAATGAACAGAAAACATCAGGCAAATTCGAACTGAGGGCCATGCCACGAATACCTGAGCAGTACTCGTCAGAAATCACAAAAAGCAAATCTGATGGGCCAAAAAAGCTAAGCTGCCAGCATTGAACAGGAAGAAAGCATGGCTGCTGGGCTTGAGTTAAGAAAAGGGAAGGAAATGGTCTGGCCAACTGAGGTACAGGCACATAATCTCAGCTACTCAGGAGCTGAGTCAGGAGGACAGCAGGTTCTTGGCCAGGATTGGGAATGCAGTGAGCTCTCATGTTAAAAAATAAAAGAGCTGGGGTGCAGCTCAGTTCTCCCTGCATTCCATCCCAGTGCTGCCAAACAAACAAACAAAAGAACAGAGTCGGGTATGGTGGCACACAACTGTATTTCATAAAGAAAATTACATGCAGTGGCTGGGGTTTGATCCCTGGCCTGCTGTGCTGGTCCTGCCCCTGGAGCGCCCTGAATTAAACACTGGGACTGGGTGTAGAGGCACATGACTATAATCCTAGCATTTGGGAGGCTGAAAATAAGAGAATCACTATGAGTCCAATCTATGTAGTAAGACCCTGCACTAAATACAAAAAAAAAAGAAAATTACAGAATGTTTCTTGGTAACAGGTTGAATAGTATTTTACAGTAAGTATCTGATTTACAGGAAGTCCCACAGTATAAATGAGTACTAAAAAAACAGTAGAACAGCTCACTCTTTTATGCTTATTCTGTGACCCATCTTCTTTATTTTCTGATTCACCACCAGTCAAGAGGTCTGCACCAATGCTGTTAAAAACTTTGTCAATCTGATGAAATATAAAAGGGTGATCAATTGAAGCAGTTTCGATAAAAATGTGGTCTTAATGCTTACAGATTATAAGAGTCAGAAGCACCCCATCTAACTTTCTGTAAAACTTAAGTATCTTCCTACCTGATGCCCAGCATTTGTAACTTTTGACTCCTCAGAGGTGTTCATTTGATTTCCTATGTCCAAAGATCTGTAAGAGAGATGAATATGAAAAAGTAAAAAAGGTAAATTTTTATTTCATTCTTTAACACAATCTTCATCTTTTCCACTATTTTCTACTATTAATGTCTGCTTGCTCAAAAAAAAAAGTAAGGTTTTAAATTCAACTTTTTCACTTGAGATCTACTAGAAAATATACTCACAGTGCTACAAAACAAGGCAACTGTGACTCTTATTTTCGGAGTCGGTAGTTTAATATCTCACTGAGACAAGACATAATATGAGACACTGATGATTCGGTTCAGAATCTGACACTAACAATAAATGCTACAATTACTGCAACATGGATTCCAACTGTGTCCTGAGAAATAAGTAGGATTTAGGCAGGAAGAAAAGGGCAAGGCTCTTTCGCCCCTCCTACACATAAAACATCCACTGTAGGGGAAGAGCACAGCTTAGTGGTAGAGCACACAGTTAGCATGGGTGAGGCCTTGGGCTCAAGCTCCAGTACCAAAGAAACAAACTATTTTTACCTATAATATACTTCTAAACATCTTTCTAGGCCCCTACATCACTGCAGCCAATTCATCAGCCTTCTCATACGTATATCAAAATCCTTCAGGAATACAAAGGACTGTTCCACCTGTTTTTCCACCACCTGTCTAGACTTTCATATTCTTCACCTTATATTGGGGCAGAAGCTAGCATTTCTATTTGGAAACCTCACTTATGACTGATGTAAACTGTATTGTATCTCTGATTTGAAAAACATTGCTAGGGAATAATTCCCATCCTTGACGTCTTTCTTTAAATACTAGTACTCTGCAAATAATTTAGAAAACCCTTCCTAAGAATAGGAGGTGAATGCTACAGTACCACATGCCCTATAAGTGTTCCGGAGATTAGAAAAAATGATAGCCAGAATAAAATGTCACAGTTCACAGATTTGAAACATCAGTTTCCAATGCCAGTGGATAATGCTGACAAAGGATTTTTCTCAGAAACACAATTTTCTTTACATAAAGAAAATGCTAAGATTCTATCATATTACATCTTTGTGCTGAGAGGCCACATTAAACTTAACAATAACCTATTTTAACTCAAACTATTAATGTGTGAAAATTTTTAACATATTTCACAGAGTCAAATGAAATCTAACGACTTTCCCATCCACATTCCAGAAAAGCAGGCTCATAGTAACTTCCACGCCAGCATGGACACTGTGCAGCTCATCGGCACCCCACTTACTTCTGCTGCTCCTGCATTATGTGAAGCTGCTCCAGTTTGGTCTTATGCTCAGACTCCAACCTGCTAAGCATCTCTTTTATGACGGAAATGAAAGAGTTGAACTGGTAAAAGAAGAAATTGATGCAGCTGTAACAGGTTTGCAGTAAGTGTAATTAATTAAGATAGCACAGGAAGTTAGTCACAGCACCGTCCACTGACCCAGAGAAGCAGGACTCAGCATCGAGGGCACAGGGACAGTCATCTAATCTCGGCACACCACAGAACACACCATGTTTTGGGTGGGGTAAGGTTTATCTCTGCAACTGATGAAGCTTTAAGTTTCAATAAACATGTCTCAATAAATTTTATATTCCAAGTTGCGACAGCTACAACTCGAGAGTCTTATATACCTTATGTGTACCTATCAGGAAAGAATTCATTTAATAATACAGAGAAAATTCCTATTTATTCAGAAAGAAAAATGACACTTGGCTCACATAAACCTTATTTCTGAAAAGTTAGTAGAAATTAAATGTACATGATCCAACTTTCACAGAGTTCATGAAGTATACCTACCTCTACCTTCACATAAGCTTTGGTTAAACTTCGCATAACTGCTAATAATTCTGATGTTATTTCTGGATCTTCATAAACCAGCTATAGACAGACACCATGGAGAATCTGAAGGCCACTTTCTTCTCCCCAAATCTCTTCTCTCTCATACATACACTACTTGACTAATCTTCACAGCTCTCCAGAATAGGTGTATTAATATTTATATTTTGTACTTGGGCTCAGTAAGGGACAAAGCAACTTCCGGAGAAACATTCAAAACTTCACGGCAGTTAGAATTCAGGGGCAGGCATGGGGCACACACCTGCAGTCCCAGCACTTGGGAGGCTGAGGCAGGAGGACCACAGAGCCCAAGGCCAGCTTGGACTACACAGTGAGTTCAAGGCCATTCTGAGATATACAATGAGAATGTTATCTCGAAAGACCAAAGAAATGGGGCTGGGGAGGTAGCTTAGCCACATAAGCACCTGCCGGGCAAGTACAAGGTCCTGAATTCCATCCTTCCAGCCCCCCACCAAAAAAAAAGTTCCCAGGGTTAGAATGCAACCTGGGGAAGCTTGTGCTCTTCCCATTACTCCGCCTCCCAAGACCCGCAGCAGCTGCTCCTCCCATCTTAACACCAGAACAAAAGGCCTCTTTCTTTCTCAGTTCACCAACACTTTCTGCTAATTAAACTTAAAAACTAAACTTGAATGAAAATATAAGACAGACTGTATATATAAAAATTTTAGAAAACTTAAAAAAAAACTTCTTACTGATACTAATAGAAAAGTAAAAGTGCACAGCTCAGAAACTCATGAACAGAACCAACCCGAACATAACTGGAGCCAGATGGAGAATCACAACAGTGCCAGAGATTCCACATGCCCTCTGGTCACATCGCACCCCCACACCACACAGGAAACACTGTTCTGACCAGGCAGCAGTGACTAGTTTGGGCTGGTTTTGCACTTTTTTTTTTTTTTTTTTTTTTGGCGGAACCGGGGATTGAACTCAGACCCTTGCGCTTGCCAAGGAAGCGCTTATTCCACTGAGCCATCTCTGCAGCCCCACTTTGGATAAATGAAACCACTTGGTAGATCCTCTCCTGTGTTTGGCTTCATTTGTTCAACTTACGTTGTCAAGAGGCATCCGTACTGCTGCATTCAGCTTGTGCAGAGAGCTAACACAGCACACCTGACTGTTGTTTTAAAGGAAGGATATGTTTACAAGGCTGGCCTTTGCTGGTGCCTGGGGACTTCAGTGTCAGAAAGGTCCCCTTTATTAAGTAATAGTAGCTTGTGCCAGCGTTGTTTGTATGAAAATGCTCTCTGCACTGAACACCTGTTTCCCTTCTAGGAGTCTGGAATTTGAGATCAGGCAGGGGGTACTGCTTGATCAGCTCTCCATAAAAAAAGGTGGGCACAGTTTCTCAAGATTTCCCCTGGTTGGCCACATGTCACACGTGTGGTCACAACTCATGACAGAGAACTAAGCTCATCTTATCTGATTCCACTGCAAGACGACGCTGTCTGGGACCTTCCATTTAGTTTCCTCAATTGAGATACTTCGAGTTCCTTTCCCTTCTCTATTCTGTGTCATATCCTTTCCCCCAAAAAAAACTTAGCCACAAGCACAGCTTTGTACCAGCTCTTGTCAATCATCCAATTGAGAGGGATTGCTAGAACAGTTCCTAAAGACATCAGAGGTTTTTCCATGATTGCTACATGGTATTTGCTGCTTCTTAAATGTTAAAAAGCATTTTCCTAAGTTAACTTTCTTTTGCACATCAGGTACAATATTATACTATTTAAATATGACTGAGAGAAATGGGCAATCTGGAATGAGAAACCCTGACCACGAGATGAAGAGGAAAGCACATCATATCCACACTAAATCACTATGAAGCACCACAAGACAGGATTCATAGTATTTCCCCAGATGAAAACAGGCCCTCCAAGAATTACAACTGAGGCTGGGCATGGTGGTACACACCTGTGGTCCCAGCACTTGGGAGGCCGAGGCAGGAGGACTATTGAGAATTTGAGAATGCCAGGCTACAAAGTGAGTTCAACGCCAGCCTGAACTGCATAGCAAGACCCTGTCTCAAAAGAACCCCCACTAAAGAATTAGAAAGCTGAAGAAAATAAATACACTTCAAATAGTCTATTTTATCCTAAAATAAGCCCTTAAAATATTTTTAAACATCCTAAATCAAACATATGAGAACTAAACTGCATTTCCTACTCATCTTCAATATTCACTGTCTCCATTTTTCTAATCCTAACCCCAAGCCTGCCACCAAAGACAGTGTCAAACCTACCTCAGGAGACTTTCAAAGGCTTACCTTACTCCTTCAAAGGAAATGTTAGACTGTCTACCTTCACAACTCTGCTCACTTGGCACTCTCCTTACCACCAAAAGCATTCGCATTTACTTCAGCTTTCTATTGCCTTCATCATTCTAATTCACCTTTCAGTCCCCAATTCTAAATCTTCCCTGCCTGTCCATCTCTGACACTCTCAATTAAACATAACACTTGTCGGTCTCTTACATTACACTTCATTAAAAATTAGGCCTACTGAAGGCCAGGGAGATGGCTCAGTAGAATACGCGCTTGCCTGGCAAGCTCAAGGGCCTGAGTTCAATCCCTGGTTCTGCAAAAAAATAAAAAAAAAAAAATTAGGCCTACTGCGAACAAAAGTGGCTGTTTGTAACACCAAGCCAAGTTTTCTCTCAACTTTTGTTTCTGGCACTGATGTAGGGCTCAGGGTATCCAGTGAAAAATAAGGTGTAAGAACTAGCTTTTGAGGAGTTTATTCTCAAGAAGAGTCAATATAGGCACTTAGCTATGATGATAATAACAAAGGCATGTAGAGATAATTCTGCAGTAACTGTTGAACTCTCATTAACCTGAGCTCAAACATCTACAACATGTTAAAAGTTCAAATACCTAAGGCAAACAGGCAGGAGTTTTAGTCTCCCTTTATTTTACCTCATTATTTATCTGTGAACCTGAACTATTCCCTCCCTTTGGGAGACAGCCCTTAATTATTTCCTCCTCCTGCTATTCATGTCTTTGTATAATCTCTTATCTTTGAAGGTGGAAGGTGTGACCAGCTTCAAAGCAATAAAACTGTGGCAAAGGTAGTGGGATATCGCAGCCTGATTACACTGTGAGACACAAACTTCATTCTTGCTGGCAGCCTGTCTTGTAGGCTGTCTTGAGACACGCTGCTGCACGAGGACCAGGTGGATGGAACTGACAGCCGCAGCTGGCCTACACACAGCAAGGACCAGATGACCTCACCGCGTATTAGCTGGATTCAGCCCCGAAGACCTAAGCCCTGCTGCGCATCGATTGCTCCCCTGTGTGCCTCCTCCATTGCAGCATCCTAAGAAACCGAGCAGGGAACGCACCTGAGCCTGGCCTTGGCGTGGCTGGCCACAGCCACTGCACCACAATAAAACTGTGCTGCTTTAAAACACAAAGTCTGTAATGATTTATAGCAATCAATAACAAATACAACCCCAAATGCATCCCATAACTTTGTTCACATCGGTTTCCCAGCCCATATTTAAAGTCACCCCAAATGCTATACGTCTTAACATGTCCTGTTCACTTACCATCTCCCAGTGGGGCTTTCAATCATCTACCCTTCCATCCTGCAAACTTTCTTCACCTAAGTCTCATATTTTTCCTTGTTTTTGCAATTTTTAAATATAATATACTATTTATTTTTAAAAATGCCTAGGTGGTGGTTGAATAAGTTAAATAAACCCCAAAATATCCCTACCTGGTTAAGATTGAGGTTGTTTTCAATACTCAGGGGAATGAGATGAGGCAGTACCTTCCCAGCCAGCTGCTCTTTGGTAATTCCTAACTTCTTATGAGTGAAAGTGCACTTGTAAATACCTGGGAGGAAGGAACAGGACAAGGTGGTGAGCTGACCCTGCGATGCAGCAGATATCGAGAGATACTCTGGTGATCGGTGCAGCATAGTGGAAGTGTAGGGCCTGCACCCTATTCACTTCTTCAGCAAACAAGCCCCATGGTGTTTGAAAATAATATATTCCACTCCACGTGACCCCTCCCAGGGCTCACGACTCCACAGTCTTGCTTGGGTAGACTTGTCTGGGAGCATGCATAGCATTCTCTGAACAGTTACGTATTAAGTGCTTTGAAATAAGCCAAAGCTTCAGAAAACATCACCTCCTACTGTTTCTGCAAACATGCACATGACCTACATGTTCAATCACTTACTTTACTGAACACCTACTGAATGTTCACTTGCTTGGCCTTATGCTTGTTACTTTTTGCTTCACTAAATTCGCATAAAACTCCTAGAGTAATGATACTTTTATCCTTAATCAATGAAAAGCTTTCTTCTACTATGCCAAACCTGTGCTCAAGAACACAAACTTCTTAGAGCACAAAAGATTCAAACCATATCCCAAGAGTTCTACATCCAAGAGGTCCACAATAAATATGGTACTCAACCCTAAAATATTTACTACTAACAGCTTTATATAAGCTATGCATTGTAGCAAATGTTAGGATACAGAGATGTATAATACAGTTATTCTTAAAAATAAAGAACCTCAGCCTGGAATGGTGGTACACGTCAGAAACCCCAGCATTTAGGAGGCTGAGCCAGGAAGACCATGAGGTTGAGGCTACTGTGAGCTGCAGAGTTCAAAGCTGGTCTGGACTACATAGCAAGACACCTCCCAAAAACCAGAACATAAATAAAATGAAGAACATTAAATTTAATACAAACACAATTGTTAATCCTTTTGCTCTTCCTATAGTTATGTCTAGTTCTTTTCTTCTTTTTTTTGCAGTACCAGGGATTGAACTCAGGCCCTTGTGCTTGCCAGGCAAGCACTTACTCTACTGAGCTATCTCCCCGGCTCAGTTACATCTATTTCTATTAGTATAAAAGACATTGACATTTTCAGACTGGACTCCTATAGCTTTACTTTTTTTTTGTATTTTAGCACAGGGTCTACAGGGTCTCACGATGTAGACTGGACTCTTGTGATCCAATCACTACTGTGTTCAGTCTCCTAAGAGCTAGAATTACAGGCGTACGCCACCACACCCAGTCTCAATCGCCATCTCAGCACGCTGGGAATCAAACCCCAGCCACTGTCTCTACCTAAACTGGCGCTTTAATCCTTCCATAGCTTTAAATACATACTATGTCACAGTTTCTTGAAAGAATAACGTTTAATTGCCGATAGCATAGAATATGTAGAAAGCTAAAATACTTTAGCATATCAACAATGAAATATACTAGCTAAGACTCAAATATATCTACATGTTACTTTATCTTTTTAATAAAAATTGTATTTACTTAGAAGCATTCAGAATATCAACAAAACTTTTTTTTTTTTTGCAATTAGTGGTATCAGTTAACAGAACAACAATTTCATATAAGCTACATGAGAGATAACTGAAGATAAAAAACTACCATCCCATATATAACTAATTTGTGCTGTGCACCTACAAGAGCCTGCTTTAAAGTATCGTATGCCAATACCACATGCCATGCCTGGAATCCAGTGTGCACCATGCCAGCCCTGAAACTGGGCAGTGAGTGGCACAAGCCCATAATCCCAGCACTGGGGAAGCTGAGATAGGAGGATCAAAACGAGTATAAGCTGTGTAATGAGACCTTGCACCAAATGAATGAAAGAATGAAAGAATGCATGAATGCATGAATGAATAAATGAATGAAATTCCATGCCAACTTATAACCCCCATACTATATCACGTAAGGTTAGTGGCTACTGAAAAATACACCAGGACAGGCCTATCTAAAAGACCCATTCAGAAGGCCGGCCAGATAGTTCAACAGACTAAAGCACCGGCTTAGGCACAGCGCAGTGGCCAGGGTTCGATCCCCTGCGTGCTGTGCCGGCCCCACCCCCAGGGTGCACTGAGACAGCGATTGAGACTGGGCATGGAGGCGCGCACCTGTAATCCCAGCACTTGGGAGGCTGAAAACAGGACAATCACTACAAGTCTGATCTTCATTGTGAGACCCTGTACTAAATACATAAAAAAATAAAAAATACAAAAAAGACATTCAGGAATGAGTTAACTATACAAAAAAAAAGGAAAAGAAAAGACAAGACACTACAGTTCAAAAACAAATCTTACACAGCCTTATATTTCAGTGTTTTTCTTTAACAGGAGCGAGTTGTGTATAGGGAGATTAAACACTTTATAAACAAGAAAAAAAAAACTGCTAGAACCAACTTATTAATCATATCTTCCCCTTCATCCTCCTCACCCTCTTCATCTTCCTCCTCCTCACCCTCTTCAACTTCCTCCTCCTCTTCTTCCCCCTCATCCTTTTTTTTCTTGCTTTTCTCAGCCCTGACAACTCCCTTTTGCTGCCTCAAGTTTTCCTTTAGCCCAGCAGGCAGTGATGTCCCTTTCCTACTTTTCCTTCAGCTCAGCATCCTCCTTCTCGTACGACTGCTTGTCATCTGCTGCAGTAATATTCCACTTTCTCCAAGTTTCTTTGCAATGTCACCTATGGAGAGGCCATGATGTCCTTCTTTGATGTCCTCCTTTGATTTGGGGCAACACTCAGAACAGAACAAGAAGGCAGCCGAAGGAGGCCTCTGGGGCACACGGGGAGCCCTGAACTTCTTTCTTGTTTCTCCTTTAGGAGGAATGTAAGTTTCCATTTCTCTTTCGTAACAAGCCTTGTCTGCCTTTGCCATGCCTTGAAATTTTCCTTTCTCTTTAGCAGACATGGTCTTCCACCTCTCTGAGCACTTCTCAGAAAACTCTGAATAAATGAATGGAATTCCACGCCAACTTACAACCTCCATACTATATCACGTAAGGTTAGTGGCTACTGAAAAATACACCAGGACAGGCCTATCTAAAAGACCCATTCAGAAGGCCGGCCAGAAAACTCTGAGAAGTTAACGGAAGCATCTGGGTGCTTCTTGTGTTCCTCTCAGCAAGTTTGCACAAAGAATGCACAGGATGACACCTTGCCTCTTGGCTTGTTAGGGTCTCCTCTGTCCACGTTTGCCTGTTTCCTCAGTAGGGCAGAGTTGCCCAGTGCCCTGCCCTGGCACTGTCTCTGTGGAGCTCAACATACTGCAATGGCTGACTCCAAATTTTATTTTATTTTATTTTTTTTGGCAGAACCGGGGATTGAACTCAGATCCTTGCGTTTGCCAGTCAAGTGCTTATCCTAGTGAGCCATCTCCTCGGCCCCCCAAATTTTAAAAATTAGCTCTTCCGCTTACCAGTTGCATGATCTTGAGTAAATTATGCCACCTGTCTGAGCCTCACAGCTTCCTTGTTTTAAAACAAGTAATTCCTATCTCAGTGGATTGGGGGAAGGACAGAGAAAATGCTTTACATCTTAGAAGCTCAACACCAAATAAATATCAGGCATCATTACCACAACTGGCATCAGCATTTCAAGCAGTTTTGTTTACCTCTCTTACCTGTACCATTTATGGAAGAAACTATGCTATCATGACATTCGTGAAACAACTATGTTTCCTAATTATTTTATCTTTTATACATGCCCATATTTTTACTACTTTTGCCAAAAACAATAAAGAGAAAATTTGTAACTTTTATCCCATCATTCTATTTCTGAATGTTATATACATAGAAAGAATGGCTTTATAAACTAGAAAATATATTTGCACAACTGTAAAACCATAAAGCAGTAGCAAATGACTAAGTTTTTCAGCTACCTAAAATTCCCATGAGGACTGCAGGTTCCTTGGAAGGAATCTGTTGTAAGAAGGGGAGGAGATCATCGAGTACAAACCACTTATCCAAGTATTCCAGTATCTTCCCCAAGCACACTAATGAATTCACACGAACCTATTAAAAGAGAGAATCATGCATTAATGATATAAAGTTTTTGTAATCCAGAACAAAATATTTATGTGTAAAATTAATACACATATGGATATAGGCTAAAATTTCAAGAATAAAAATCTCTGAATCTACACTTTAGTAACACAGGAAATTCACTAACATCCTTAATTTGCTTCAAAAAGAATTTATAATGGTTTCACCAAGACAATAATTAGTTAACACAAGGAATGACTTTAACTCTATAGTATTTTAAACAAAGTGGTAGGATTGGAAAAGGTTTAATTATATATGGGTTTACCAAAAACATTCCTCTGAGAACTTCTTAATTTTATAAAAAAGAATATATTATCTTCATCAACTGACCAATTTCACTGAAATTCCATCACTTTAACTCAGGTTCAGTTAGTGCTTAAACTAAGTATGTTAACATTTGACATTATCTGTATTTGTCTAACATAAAGTTTTCTATTTCTAAATATATCTTTCATAGGAAAAACTGGGCCTGCAAGATAGTTCAGGGGACTAAAGCACCTGCTTATACAAGCTTAGGCAAGCACATGGACCCAGGCCCGATCCCCAGCACCACATACCACGCCAGTCCTGTCCCCAGGGCAGGCTTAGCCGGCCAGAGTTCAAGGTGTAGTGGTGCATGCCTGTAACCCCAGCACTGGGGCAGCTGAAGACAGAAGGATCACTATGAGTCCAAGCTATGTAGTGAGACCCTGTAACTTTCAAATACATTTGAAAAACAAAAAAGAAAAAATGGAAAATCAACATCTTGAAATTCTTCTCAAAATTCTATATTCAATTGGCTTTTGATAAATATGTAAAACCCTATACAACCTAGTTTTTAGGTGAAAGTCGTTACAATGGAATACCCTTTTAAGGCAGGACCAGAATAACTAAAATTCTAGTTCTCTTAAAGAAAAAAAATCTAAAAAAAAGTAGAAAATAACTTGGTTGGTTAAAATTTTACCATATTTCAGGAAAAATGAATTTGCCATTTCTGAAAAAAATAACCACTATATGAAATTGAAACAGGAAATGCTATAAATTCAAAATGATATCAGAAGGCTTAACTTACCATCATAATCAGTTTTATTAAAAGAAGTTAGGCCTGGTGGCACACACCTGTAATCCTAGCACTTTGGAAGCCTGAGGCAGGAGGATCCAAAATTCAAGCCCAGGGGCCAGGGAGATAGCTCAGTAGAATAAGCACTTGCCTGGCAAGCACAACGGCCTCAGTTTAATCCCCGGTTCCACAAAATGGAAAAAAATAAAGTTCAAGCCCAGCCTGATCAACTTAATGAGATCTTGCCTCAAAATAAAAAATTAAACAAGGGCTGGGATGTAGCTAAATGTAGATATCCTGGGTTCCATCCCCAGTATCCCTGTAGCGTGCGTGGGTACACACATACATACGCACACAAACTGCTGTATCTAATTGGTTATCTGTCTGGGAAACTGAAAATTAAAACATTAATTTTTTTTTGTACAATATATAAAAATTAGGTTTCTTTGCATGGCATGGAACCTGTAACCCCAGCTCCAGATGGCTAAGGCAGAAAGACTGCCATAAATGAGTTCAAAGCCAGCCTGAAGGGCCAGGGAGATAGCTCAGCAGTGCAGTGCCTGCCTGGCAAGAACAAGGTCCTGTGTTTGACTCCCAGCACAAAACAAAAACAAAACCAAAAAAGCCAGCCTGAACTACACAGCAAGATCAACCCTGATGCAAAAAGCCAATAAATAAACAAATAAGTCAGCCAGTCAGTCAGTCAGTCAGTCAGTCATGTGGGATGGTACCGATGGGACAAGGCTCAGTAATGGGGGAAACTATAGCATTTAGTGAGGGAGGAGGACATTATTTTGAGCCTGTTCACTATCTGCTGGTAGTCTTCGACATAAAGACTGAATTTCTATTTTCAGTAAATTCAAAATAATAATAAAAACAATTCTTTTCAACAACAAAAAATTGGTCAGGTAAAAGACAGACATGCCTATGTTTTTAAAAGTTGCTATTTTGAAGAAAATATTCAGTATTACTTCTGTACAGAAATACCAATGTGATAAACACTTAGATTTAATGTTTCAGAATAGTTAGGGATGTTTACTGATCTCAACATAAGATAATGCAAACTATGTTATTTATTCCACCTTTTTTATTATTTTAACTGAAGTGTTAAATTTTGCATTCACATCTATTTTTAATCTTCATATTTTGTACAACTATTTCCCTAATTACACTTCTATAAATTTGTCTTATTATCATCTACTTTTCTAAAAATGGTGAGTGGGAGACGAGAAATTTAAAAACCAATGGCTAAAAATGAAGGCAATTTATAAAAGGAAGCCATTTAAAAAGGTTTTAGGCTTATATACCGAGTTAAACTGTTTATTATTTTGAAACAACAAAATAAACTGTGATAGTTAAAGTAGAAAAGGATTGAGAAAAAATATTTCTACTGAAGCATTCAGGTTATGGAGAAGGGAGTAAAATGAAGAACACAGTATTATAAAGTACCAGAAAAATATTCACAATTCACTTTTCCCTTTTCATGTATTTAGTACGGGGTCTACAGGGTCTACAGGGTCTCACCACACATATCTGACTCTTAATGATCCTCCTGTTTCCAGCCTCCCAGCCCTGGGATTGCAGGTGTGCACCACCACGCCCAGTGTCGATCACCATCTCAGTGCCGTGGGTGCAGCGCCAGCACAGACACCAGAGATTGAACCCCGGCCCCTGTGTGTGCCTAAACAGGCACTTTAATCCACTGAGCTATTTGGCTGGCCCTACAATTCACTTTCATAGTACATTTCTATATACAAGTTATAGCCAAGACAAACCATACAAAGTATAATAAGGTTATTAGACAATGAGGAATGTTTTAGACTACTGAGAAGTAAAAGAAAAACAAAAATTGTAATATGCAACTACTTACAGCAAGGGAAGATGTTTGTAGACAGGCATTTTTAATTCTTGGTATCAAAGCATTTTTCATGGATGGGTAGTCTATAAGATTTGCAAAAGTTGGAATGATGTTCAAACAGAGCTCCTATTAAAAAAACAAAGTGGATCAATCTTAGTAAAAGATCCTCTCAGCCTTTCACATACTCAAAAGTACTCTGTATCTGTACAGCTAGCTAATTTGTAAGATAATTTAAAATAAGTTTCCATGTATGTTATATTATTTGGTCTTTTCAACAACTGTTTGAAGAACAAAGAGCTATAATCAGTTTTACAGATGAATGGAAAGGTTCAGAAAATCTTAGTCAAACTAGGTCACAAAGTCAGATGTGGTGGTGCATGCTTATAGTCCCAGCACTTGGAAGAGACTAAAGCAGGAGGCTCCCTTGAGCCCAGGAGTTTGAGGCTAACACAGCAAGACCCTGTCTCCAATGAACACAAAAGACTCAAAAGCAAAGGAAGTTATCCAAGATTGTAATGACTAGCATATGCTACTCAAAATGATCCTAGTAGCAAAGCCTAGAAGAGACTACTGAGGGCAATGGGAGCACAGACGTCCATTAGCAAAGAAGCTACGATGATACCAGGCAAACTCGAAGTCGTTCACTTATAGTGAGCAACTGAAGAGAATTAGCTAAGAACCAATTATCAAAATACTGGCATGAACTTTCTTGAACTTACCCTGAAATTTCCAAAAGGTTGATCTAGCTACACAAAACTATAAAAATTATGTGAGTGAGATAATTTATGGATAAGAAGTATAAGTTAAGCCAGGAGTGAAGGCACACACCTGTAACTCCAGCACTTGAGAGGCTGAGGAAGGTGTCAGCCTGGGCTTTATAGGAAGTTCAAAGCCAGCATGAACTACATAGCAAGATCCTGTCCCTAAAAACTAAAGACAAGTCTACTTGAGAACTCCTTTCAGCCTGAAGAAGCCAGAGTGGCCACTGCCCACTATTCCTTCATGGTAGTTCAGGTTACTTTTTCAGAAGGGGGGAATGTTACAGGCAGCTGAGTTAGACAGAAATATAGGCAGAAAGACAGGGCCCACCTCAAAGGACCCAGTACGGAAGACAAGATGCCTTACAATTGTAAGGAGACTGCCTTACAACTGGAGAGACACCTCTGTTGTGGGCCAGACCTCAAGACAAAAGATAAAAGCAGCCACATACCTCCCTAGGGATGGACCTTAGGGACTGCTACTCAATATAAGCATGGATCACCTTGAAAAAGCCAGGAAGAGTCATTAACCCAGCCCCCCTACAGGAAAAGCCCCTGTCCTGTATTCATGTCGGCTTGACAGGTGACTCCGTTCCCCATTTGATCCCGGTTTAATCAATTTCACCTGAGCAATTATACTCGTAATTTTATTGGCTGACCATAGTGTTGTCCACCTCATGCCCATCCTGTGAGTTCCCATGTTTCCCACCTTCGACCCAGCTCACCTTGTGGTTTTGCTCTATAAAAATCCCTTTAAAAGGCAGGTTCCGGGGCTGGTGAGATGGCTCAGTGGTCTAAAGCACCTACTTAGAACAAGCTTAGCAAAACACAGGGACCGCGGTTCAATCCCCCAGCACCACATGCCAGCCAGCCCCGCCCCCAGGCGGGCTGAGCTGGCCACACACACACACACATATAAATAAAATTTTAAAAAAAAGGCAGGTTCCTTGGCAACCCAGTAAGGTCCCCTTCTGCCCCTCTCTCAGACAGAAGCTTGCTTTCCCTCAATAAATATATTCTGTGCTTAAAAAAAACTACAAACGAACAGTAAAAGTTACAAGTACCTGAGTTCAAACCTGGTAACAGAAAAAACAAGAAATAACAAACTACAGGAAAGGATATGGCAAAATTACTACTCTCATGTACTGATAGTAATATAAATTGTTACAAGCATTACGGCAAACAATAGAGAGTATCTTAAAAGAACCGCCAAGTAGAATTAAAATACAACTTGGTGGGGCTGGGGAGACATCTTGGCAGTCTAAGCGCCTGTCTTGCAAGCAAAAGCACCTGAGTTTGATCCCTGGTACCATACGCCATGAGCCTGCAATCCCAGCACAGCTGAGGCGGGAGGATCACTATGAGTCTGAACTATGTAGCAAAGCCCTGTATCAAATAAATAATTTTTTAAAAAAAACTTAAAATACAACTAGCAATCTCACTCTTGCAATCTCACTCTTGCAATCTCACGCAGCCAAAGGAACTGGTATGCTGAAGAGCGATCTTCAAGCACAAGTTCACTGCAGCCCATTCACAACAGCTAAGAAACAGAAATGACATATGTGTACATCAATACATGCATGAAGAACATGTGAGAGACAGGCATAGCTGTAGAGCCCTGTAGGTGCATAGAAATACACACTGTTCAGACTAAAAGAACCAGCTCCTGTCATTTGTAGCAACACAGAACGGGAAGACTTTATATTAAGTGAAGTAAGTGAAACACTCCAAGACCATTACTGCACGTTCCTACTTATATATGGAAGCTAGAAAGTTGATCTCATAGAAGTAAAAAAAAAAAAAAAAAAAAAAAAATAACAAACAGTGGTTATTAGAATCTAGGATTGAAGTCGAGGTAGGAATAGTGGGGACAGAGATATAGTTGGGTAGGAAAAATACTTCTTAACGTAAAGAAGGACAAACTTGGAGACTAGAAAGATGGCTAGGTAGAATAAGCACTTGCCTGGCAAGCGCAAGGGCCTGAGTTCAATCCCCGAGTCTGCCAAAAAGAAGGAAAAAAAAAAAGGACAAGTTTGGGACACTTCTAGTTAACGATGCATCTTGAGACCACATTCTTAAGTGGAACAAATCAGATACACATGCAAAAATATTGTATGGTTTCTTTAGTATGAGAAACTGAAAGGGGGGCGGGGGGTGGCTGGGGAGAGAGCTCAGTGGCATAAACTCCTGCCTGGCAAGTACAAGGTCCTAAGTTTGATCCCTAGTAAATGAAGGAAGAAAGAAAGGAAGGGAGGGAGGAAAGGAGGGAGG